TGAATAAACCAAAGGATTGATCGTCTGTTGGACTGTGAAAAACCCAGACCTACTTCACTTTCCTGTCGAAGTGCTTGGTTCATCTTTCGCTCGTTTTATTGTGAATTTTCAGAATTTTTTCATGTTGAACCACACTGAGTAAATCCAAACACATGTAAACAGTACTTGCAATGACTCACCACCAGGTTTGATCAGGATTGGTTTGTTATTTTGAGTTTGTGATGAGTTTTATCATGTACTAGCTGTACCCGGCCACGCGTTGCTGTGGCATAGTTTGGCTGAATTGAAAAGAAAGAAAATAGAAATCTTGCTTCGTACATCGAAGTAGTCGGCAAAATTACCCAAGTGAAAAGCTATGAAAACAGGAAAAATACACAATAATTACGAAATGATTGCTATGGTAAACTGTACCAAGCGCGCGTTGCTACGCCTCTAATAGAAATTCAATTGAAAGGAAAGTCGATATAACAATATGTCGTATTTATTTTGGATCATTGTGCTGTTTACAAATCCTTAGAAAAAAACAGGCAATTTAAAATGTAATTGTTCTTAGTTTTTCCGCCTGGTGCGTACACGAATAAATCAGTAGGTTTTCGGACGCTTGAACAGGCCACATATGGCAGTCCATGTGAAAAGCATGGATGTTCCAAATGTAGTCCACACAATTGTTCTGACTGTCCCTGTGATTTGTTGATGGTCATTGCTAAGGTGAGTCGCACCAGAAACTGCAAGCATCTGAAGTTGAATGGCATGTCTGTTGGAATTGCGTTGCAATAGTATATCCTGGCCCTTAAATGTTCATGAAAAATTGTACTTACGATGATATTGGGCACAGTACTGAAAATTAGGTATAGCGGTTTAGCGACAGATTAGGAAATTACCGGAAAAGCGTTACAGTGGTCTGGTAGAGTTGATACAAATTCCGGGGCACTGAGAGTATAGAGTTCATGTTTATTAAAAAAATCATATCTAGAGACTAAAAAATAATACATCTCTGCTAGCACTAAAACTTTGTTCATCTTAACCGGATGTTGTTGAGTGAATTCATTTTAACAAGCTTTTACCAATTACAATTATTCAAATTGAATTATTTGATCTACTAAAAAATAATAGTATTCTAATTTTGTTGAGATTAAGGACTGTACTTAAATTCCCTCAGTGTGCCTTTCAAAACCATTCCATGTGCCACACTTGCCATAAGTTGCCAACACTTAGCTGTAAATTGCCAACGCTTAGCCTATATTTAGCTTTTTTTCTGATGACATCTCTTGTTGTTTGCAGATACTCATCACTATCTGTCAAAGTATTTAATATGTCAGACATTAAATGTTGGCCTCTGTGGTTGTCCAGTTGTTAATATTTCTCTATAATAAAGCTGGCCTTAACTGCCCTTGAAATATTGGTGATTTTAATGGTTGTCCAGATGTTGATATTTCTGTATAATGAAGCTTGCCTTTACTGCCCTTGAAAGATTGGTGACTTTAATGGTTGTCCAGATGTTGATATTTCTGTATAATAAAGCTTGCCTTAACTGCCCTTGAAATATTGGTGATTTTAATGGTTGTCCAGTTGTTGATATTTCTGTATAATAAAGCTTGCCTTAACTGCCCTTGAAATATTGGTGATTTTAATGGTTGTCCAGATGTTGACATTTCTCTATAATAAAGCTTGCCATGAAAGATTGGTGACTTTAATAGTTGTCCAGATGTTGACATTTCTCTATAATAAAGCTTGCCTTGAAAGATTGGTGACTTTAATAGTTGTCCAGATGTTGACATTTCTCTATAATAAAGCTTGCCTTGAAAGATTGGTGACTTTAATAGTTGTCCAGATGTTGACATTTCTCTATAATAAAGCTTGCCTTGAAAGATTGGTGACTTCAATAGTTGTCCAGATGTTGATATTTCTGTATAATAAAGCTTGCCTTAACTGCCCTTGAAAGATTTTGTGTTTGTTTTTTGTTGTTGTGACGTGGTCACTCACAACAGAAAAGAAAAGAAAATTAGTAACCATGGAATTGAGGTGTCTGAGAAAGACTGTAGGAGCGACCAGAAAAGATAAAACCAGGAATGAGGTCATACAAGATAAAGTCGGCCAAGAACCAATTCTAAATTACATACAAAGACAGCAAATCAAATGGTTTGCCCACTTGGAGAGAATGTTTTCTAATGATATACCATTCAAGGCATATTTAAAAAAAGGAGAGGAACGTCAAGCAAGATGCAGACCAAGAATATCTGGAAAGATAACATCAGAGAAACTCTACAGCACCCCGATGTGTCTACGGTCGAAGCAGCCAGAAGAGCACGAAGCAGGCCCTGGACACCTGAAGCGGTAAAAGAGGACATAAAGAAGAAGAATGGATTCTTGATGGCTGTTGTTACAGTCAGGTAAGTACTTATTGTTTCAAGGTGGATGAAAGTTCCTGCTTTTTGTTGGCCATTGCATGTAGCCATATTTTTATTGTTTGTGCACATAATCACGTTATCAGTGCATGTAATCATTTTATGTTGTTTGCACACATAATCATTGTATGTTATTTGTGCATATAATGGTGTTATGTTATATGTGAGTATAATAACCATCTCATTTGTTATTTGTGCACAGTCATACTATGTTGTTTGTGCATGTAATCATGTTATGTTATTTGTGCATGTATCTAATCATGTTATTTATCTGTGCATATCATAATTTTGTTTGTGGTATTCGTAACCCTGTTCTTTCTTGTACTGTTAGTGACCTTAGAGACACAAGAGCATTTAACCTGTAGTTACTTTCTGTTCTAGTGCCCTATTCATCTTCCACTATTACAATAGTAACAAATTAGCACTGCGGGTAAGCATCATCATCGTCTAGTGCCATGCCAGCTGATGTAGGCATCCATGCATCTCCACACTCTCAGTCTTTGGTGTTCTGGATCAATTCCACTGATGATATTCCTCCCTGCCACTGCCTCAAGCCATCCACCTTAATTTTTCTTCTACCAGTGATCTTTCCAGTCGTCACGTTTTCCAGTGCTTTTTTTTCTCATAACTTGTCCAAAGAACTTTTTCTCCTTCTCACTGTTTTATGTAATGCTGTACTTTCATTAGCCATCCCAGGCAATCACTGTTAGTTATTCTGGCAGTTCAAGGTATTCGCAACATTCTTCTCAAGACCCACATCTCAATTGCCTGCAAACTCCTCTTAATTTGTTTGCTCACAATCCAAGATACACTACCATACAACAGAACAGACTCGATATAACATTTCAGTACTCGTTTTCTGATGTTTAATGAGAGTGATTTATTACATAAGATACTTTACATCTTCTGAAATGCAGCCTTTGCCTGGCCAATTCTGCTCTTAATTTCTGTCACACAACGTCCATCTCATGTTATGAATGTCCCTAAATACCTTAATTTATTGACTTGGTTCATCACTTTTCCTTCTATTGCTGTCACATTTTGGGGTTATCTTTTTCTTTGATACAACCATTGTTTTTTTTTTTTTTTTCTTGACATTCAAGGAAAGTCCCTTTTTGGTTATTCACAAAAAAAAAAAAAAAAACAGCCTCACAACTTTCCAAAGTTCTGTAATAGGTGAATCACAACAGATAAAATAATCAGTAAACAACAACATAGTGCAGCATTAAATAGAATACATTTATGACCTCTATCACTGAGGCTCACAGAAATATTTGATGTCAACTTGGCTATTAAAAAACATCATTTGTTTCACAAGGAAACCTCTCCATAAATGCTTTTCTGGTAAATATACTCCTAAATGACGTGCACGTGCGAAAAGAACCAATAACATTAAACTACTTTAATAGAAACACGTCATCACAGAAAGGTTGGTTGTGAGACCCTTACAGGGATAAGGCAACAATGGGAAAAGTCTGCTTCGGGGGAGAGGGGGGGGGGGGGGCAAATAGACTAGCAATAACTGGTGTGGGTTGGCTGTTTATCTGTTAGGACTAGCAGAAATATTTTGCCTGCTTTCCTCTTTGGTTCTTGACCAGTTGATCATCTGCTGGCTGAATCTCTGTCTCAGTTCATGAGCCCAGTCTTGTCCCCCCAGGCTATGCATATCATCTGCTGGCTGAATCTCTGTCTCAGTTCATGAGCCCAGTCTTGTTCCCCCAGGCTATGCATATCATCTGCTGGCTGAATCTCTGTCTCAGTTCATGAGCCCAGTCTTGTCCCCCCAGGCTATGCATATCATCTGCTGGCTGAATCTCTGTCTCAGTTCATGAGCCCAGTCTTGTTCCCCCAGGCTATGCATATCATCTGCTGGCTGAATCTCTGTCTCAGTTCATGAGCCCAGTCTTGTCCCCCCAGGCTATGCATATCATCTGCTGGCTGAATCTCTGTCTCAGTTCATGAGCCCAGTCTTGTTCCCCCCAGGCTATGCATATCATCTGCTGGCTGAATCTCTGTCTCAGTTCATGAGCCCAGTCTTGTCCCCCCTAGGCTATGCATATCATCTGCTGTATGCGTGCTTGACCCTTTAGCAAGACCATTATTCAAACGAGACCATGGTGCCAATCAATCAATCATCATCATCATGTAGCTGGTCCTTTGCAGAACGTCGCTCTCATCTCGGCCTGCCTGAAAGAAACTCGGTCTCTCGCCAGCTCTCCTGCCTTGTGTACTTTCATATTCAAGGAGTCACTTATATCCTGTGAACATCTTCATGTTGATCGGCCCCTGCCCCTCCTTCCTGGTACCATGCCTTCTGCTATTATTTTTCCAATGCGCTGTGGAGCTTGATATGACCAATTAATACTTTAAAATGTAATTATCATACCCCAGCAACACCTGGAGATCTGTGATCCCTGTAAGATTCAGTAGCCTCACCTTTTGAGAATGCCTCACATAAATATGAACTTATTTATAATGATTGCTGATGCAAAATGTGGACAAGCCAGTAAGTGCTCAGTCTCTTCCAGCACAGGTCAAAGGTAAATATGAGAAAAAAATTTAAATGTTGATCATGCAAATGAAGTTGGTCTGTGGTCAGGATAAAACATCTCTGTGTGGCTTGACAGATTCAGATGGAATGTTTTGTAGCTCCCGAAGACCCTGCCAAGATGAAAAAAAAGCATTCGTCAGTCAATTTGTATACTATAGTACATATTTCAGCAAAACATTCAAAATGCTCAGTGAAAAGCTTTAGTGGAGCAGTAGCTAGCATTCTTTGCTTGCTGACCCAATGGTCCCATCTTCAAAATCCCCAGTGAGGCACAGATTGCCACAGCTCCAGTGAAAACCGAGAGGCTATGCTGAAACAGATGTACTCATGAGAGCCGAATCATGGAATCCGGAACCAAACCTGTAAATTTCAGGATGCACACCAAATGGCTGAACCAAATTATCACAGGGATAGTGTAAGAGGCAGAGGTTAGGGAGGCGATTAAAACTCAAAAAGTTAACAGAGCACCTGGGTGTGATGGAATCTGCCCAGAAATGCTGAAAGTGGAAGAAATTGAAACGCCAAAATACTGTGTACGATTTTTCAAGAAATCTGGAACAAAGAAGAAATCCCAAAGGAGTGGAAAAAGGGTAATATTATTAAATTACCAAAGAAAGGAGATTTAGGAAACTGTAACAATTGGAGAGGTATCACATTACTATCAGTAACTAGTAAAATCTTTAGCTGGATAATTCTTAAAAGAATGACTCAAGCACTTGATAGTATAATAGGGCAAGAGCAGACAGGATTAAAAAAAGTGAAATCATGTATTAATCACATCTTCACGCTGTGTCAAATAACTGAACAAAGAAACGAATGGAATAGTGCAGTTATTTTACCTTTGTGGATTTTGAAAAAGCCTTTGATAGCCTGCATAGGGAATCACTATGGAAGATTTTGAGAAAGCCTTTGATAGCCTGCATAGGGAATCACTATGGAAGATTTTGCGTCACTGTGGTCTACCACAGAAAATAGTAAATTTGATCAAAGCCATTTACTTAGAGTTTCAGTGTAAAGTAGTTTGTGATAATCATACAACAGAAAGCTTTTGGAAGGATGAGGCAAATCTGGAAATCCAACAATTACTGCAGAGGAACGAAACTCTGACTCTACAAGAGCATCATTTTGCTTGGCCACATTATGAGAATGAATCCTGATATACCTGCCAAAACAGCTCTCACATGGAACACCAGAGGGAAAGAGAAAACAAGGGCGACCAAAAACAACATGGAGAAGAACGGTGGAAAGTGACCTATGTTTAAGGAGAATTCTATGAACATTTTGGCCAAACAAGATCACAAATGAAGAACTGAGGAGGAAAACAGAATGTGCATTACTGGCAAATGTTATCAAAGTAAGACGGAGATGGCTTGGACATGTTTGCAGAATGCCTTGTAACACTCTAGTAAAAACAGCTCTCCGATGGACAGCAGATATGATAAGGAGACAAGGAAACCTGGAGAAGGACAATAGAACGGGAAAGAGGGAATGTAAACTGGCACGGTATACCATGGGCAGAAAAGCAGCAATGGAGATCACTTGTGAATGCCTTATGTGTCAACAGCTACATGAAGAGGATAAAGATAGTGAAAGATAGTGAAACATCGGTCACAGTGAAGAGTGGAAAGGAGACAGGATTAACATAGCTCAGACATACAAAATGTTAAAATGTTTCTATCAGTTTCCCCAACTTTATCTACATTACTGCCCAGAAGGTGTAGGACTCCGTCTTGGAGTGGGGTGCCATTTAGAGAAACCACATCACTATTTGCCTGATTTATTCTCATTATCTTTGTCATTCTCTTATGATTTTCAGACATAGCTGTTGTGATCTCGCATAAAGTATATTTAATTTATCTTGCAACTGATTCTGTGAATGGGACTGAAGAGAAATACCATCAGCGAAGTCCAGATCATCAAGCTGTTTTGTAGGGGTCCACTGAATTCCATTCTTCATGTCAGCAGTTGCTGTCTTCATAATCCAATTTACTGCCAGTAAAAAATAGGAGAAGCAACAAAAGATAACCCTGTCGCACACCCTTTTTTTTCACTTTAAATGTATCTGTTAGCTTTCCCTCATTATGAACTCAACATTTCATGTCCTTATATGTTGCTTTTACTAAGTTATTAATTTTCTATTAGTGTGGTATTCCATAGTGCCCCATTAATTTCTTGAGAGATTCCCTATCAATGATGTCTAAAGCCTTTTCATAGTCTATGAATCCAATGTAAAGTGGTGAATTTGGGTCAATACTTTGCTCTGTTATTATACATAATGTGGCTATCTGGTCAATACAGGATCTGTTTGGCAAAAAACCTGAATATAACATAATTTTATTTCCGCAGCTAGCACTGGAAACATTTTGTTTGTTTTATTTACAGCAAATATTCACAGAGAACTTGAGCTCAAAGTACCAGGTTACATTTGTTACTGAATTTACAAAGAAACAACTGAATACAAAAATCGAACCTGACAAACAAACAGAACCTTATTTAATATAAGCTTAGTTAAAAAAAATCAGAACAAGAAAGATACCTACCTCTAGAACTAATCTAATATGTCCTTTAACCTTGCATGCATCCTTGGTCAGCTGTGCCGTTCGATCCTGAAGCTGCTGGGTTTTCATGTCGATGAATTTTAAAGCTTCAGGCAGAGACATCTCCAGGAAGAAGCCATAACCAATAGCAATGTTTATCCTGGACGGGTTTGGTCTGCCGAGTTCAAGAAAATAAGATTTGCTCATAAATTTTCAAATATTTTCTATCCTATGTCCTTAAATCAGTGGATTTCAGCTGGGAGAAAGGGGTCAGAAGGGTGTGTGGAAGTAATAAGCAGCATAAGCCAATTTTTATATTGAGCGCATTTGTTCTCGTCTGTTATACAGTATTCCATTATGCCTTGCCCGACATCAAACCAAAATTAGCACATATATCATTAAGATAAAATTAGCTTGAAGGGAAAAATATGACACCTACACATTAGCTTGAAGATACATATATGACACTTACACATTAGCTTGAAGTAAAATAAATGACACTGACACATTAGCCTGAAGGGAAAAATATGACACTTACACATTAGCTTGAAGATGAATATATGACACTGACACATTAGCTTGAAGTGAAATAAATGACACTGACACATTAGCCTGAAGGGAAAAATATGACACTTACACATTAGCTTGAAGGGAACAATATGACCCTCACACATTAGCTTGAAGGGAACAATATGACCCTCACACATTAGCTTGAAGGGAACAATATGACCCTCACACATTAGCTTGAAGAGAAATATATGACCCTCACACATTAGCTTGAAGCGAAATATATGACACACATTAGCTTGAAGGGAAATATATGACACACATTAGCTTGAAGTGAAATATATGACACACATTAGCTTGAAGGGAAATATATGACACACATTAGCCTGAAGGGAAATATATGACACACATTAGCTTGAAGTGAAATATATGACACACATTAGCTTGAAGTGAAATATATGACACACACTAGCCTGAAGGGAAATATATGACACACACTAGCCTGAAGGGAAATATATGACACACACTAGCCTGAAGGGAAATATATGACACACATTAGCTTGAAGTGAAATATATGACACACATTAGCTTGAAGTGAAATATATGACACACACTAGCCTGAAGGGAAATATATGACACACACTAGCCTGAAGGGAAATATATGACACACACTAGCCTGAAGGGAAATATATGACACACATTAGCTTAAAGGGAAAAATATGACACTTACACATTAGATTGAAAAGAAATATATGACACACATTAGCTTAAAGGGAAAAATATGACACTTACACATTAGCTTAAAGGGAAAAATATGACACTTACACATTAGCTTAAAGGGAAAAATATGACACTTACACATTAGCTTAAAGGGAAAAATATGACACTTACACATTAGCTTAAAGGGAAAAATATGACACTTACACATTAGCTTGAAAGGAAAAATATGACACTTACACATTAGCTTGAAGAGAAAATATGACACACATAAGTCCAAAAAGAAATATATAAGACTTACACATTAGCTTAAAGAGAAAATATGACACACATAAGTCCAAAAAGAAATATATGAGACTTACACATTTGCCTGAACGTAGAAGTTACATCCTAAATCAACTTTAGTCTTCAGCTCTGATGTTGGTGTGATGTCTTCCTAGAAGTTTGTGACAAAAATATTCATTTATACTACCCAAAAAAAAAAAAAAAACAATTGTATATTTAAAAAAAAAAAAAAAAAAGATAAAATAAAGTTTGAATTTAATGCTCTGTTTGTGTGTGTGTGTGTGTGTATGAGAGAGAGAGAGAGGGTGAATGTGTATGTGTCACCAAGTTCAACTTGTGCTTTATTGCAGAAATCTGCGTGAGCGCGTGTGTCTGTGTATGAGAGAGAGAGAGAGAGAGAAAAGGAGGGAGGGAGGGGGCAGGGAGGGTGAATGTGTATGTGTCACTAAGTTCAACTTTAGTGCAGAAATCTATGTGTGTGTGTGTGAGTGTGTCTGTCTGTGTATGAGAGAGAGAGAGAAAGACAGAGGGAGGGTGAATGTGTTATGTGTCACTAAGTTCAATTTGTGCTTTATTGCAGAAATCTGTGTGAGTGTATGTGTGTGTGAGAGAGAGAGAGAGGTGAATGTATACATGTATGTTTGAGTGTGAGGTCCTGTGCACGCTCCAGACCAGTGATTTTTTCATTCAACTTAAAGTCATCTTATCTCATCTTCATCCTCTGTTACCCTGCGGTGTTGTAAGTTTCAGGAAAGAGCCTGTCAGTGTGCTTTGTAAACTGGGCTTCCCAGGGCCTCTGTAATTTTCTCTGTCCATTTCTTGCATGGTTGGCCTCTTCTTCGCTTCCCGCCAGGTCTGCACCTCATTGCTTGCTCTGGTATACTGTTTACTGACATCCGCGTTATATGGCCAAACCATTTCACCTGCTGTCTTCTAATAGATTTCACTGTTTCTGATCTGATCTCTTATATGACAGCCATTCACAGGAATTTCATTTCAGTTAGTAATCCCCTGCCAGCCTGCTAGGCCAGTTGCAAATTAAAGTCAACAATTATTTAAATAACAAGAAAAGATATCAAACCAAACCAAACATAGAACAATCAGCTGCACATTATCCCAACCATAAACGACAAGTGAACAGTGCAGCTAGAAATTAATTAACTCCTTGAGTACCAAAAGGTTTTACCGCAGATTGCCATATGTATAAATAAGCAACAGGAAAAACCACGAAGGTACTGCTTTCAAAGATGCTAAACACTGGGGAAGCCAGACTTCTTAGTATACTGTGACCAACCATGAGAAGGACTAGAACATTTTATATTTTTGGGGGGATTAAAAGAAGGACTAATCACTCATCACACGTTGTTTGGGACTGAAAGAGTTGAAATAAAATTGACTTGAACACACAGTTAACTTAATGTTTATTAGGCTAATGCTTAAAGATTATTTCACCTGTATTTTCTGAATTGTGCTTTTCAGCTGAAAGTATTCGGAAACTTCTTCATACAGCTCATCTCTGTCCTCCAGTATCTTTCTGAGGGGAAAAAAGCATCAATAACTGACATAATGATCTAGCAGATATCACTTCTGGTCAAAATGGATGATAGGCACGGTCAATGATGCAGTCATGGCAAATTTGTCGCTTCTGACAGATGGTGGCCGTTGCATTTTCCTATATTTATAGACTAAAAGGATATAGTTTTGTCAAACAGCCACTAAGCTGAGTACATGACGTGACACTGTGAGCCGCATATTTCATTTGGAATGTTTTTCAGCTGTGACCAAAGTAGTGTTGTGAACTGAAGCTTCAGAAAATGGTAACTGGACTGGCCTGTTGCCACAGAATTGGTGGTGCCTTATGCAATTAGATTTGATTCTGTGTGCAACTACTGATCTCTTTGTAACTGCTACTTCCATTGATGATGAACTGCATTTCTAATGTTGGACTGTTTGTGGTAGCACTTCTGACGGCTGTCTTATGAATTAATGCATGTGCGCTCCAGTGGATATGCTGAGACTGCAGCCTCTGTCAATATTTTTTTTACAAGGGACAGTGATGGACATTCTGTGTGTTTTTCATTGGGACAGGAGCGGAGCAACTACAGGGTGACCTGTTTGCTATGAAGCTGAAACTCAGTTACCAAGATTATCAAGATTACTAACATTACCAGGATTACCAAGATTATCAAAATGGTGATTGGCATGTTGTATTGTGGTTTACAACTAGGCTGTGATATCTGCACATTCACCTCAACACATTCAATTTCAGCGAACATCTAAATAGTCACCTTTTACAGCATAATAGGGGGTGGGTGGATGTGTGGATGTTCACCCCCCCCCCCCCCCCCCCAAATGGGGCCCCAGTACACACATGGAGGTAACAGTATTCTTCTGCAAAACCACATCTCCGAGGTCTCAAGAAATTGTTTGGTTTGTTTATTAACGTCCAGGATTCACAGCCATAAAGCAAGAAGTAAGTAAGTAATAATTCACATAAATCTTTACTTAAAATAAAAGTACCTCTTATTCTTCTCTTTCTCCATCAAAGTACTGGGGAGAAATGAAAGACTTTTGTGTGTGCTCTTTTTAAAGCATTGTAGAAGTTTATCTTTATTTCTTTAAGGCTGTTCCAGATGCACTCATTCCATATTTTTTGCCTTATCTTCCCCTTGCTGTGTGTTTATTATATTTCTTAAGCGTGGCTTAACTAAAATTATTAACTTTATAAGTCTAAAACTACAAATAAAATACCTCAAATCTTCCCGCAATCGTTCATTTAAAAATGTTTCATATTCCAAAACCTTGGTATCTGACTCCATAGTGTTTTCTTCTTTCCAAGTTAAGATGAACCTGAATGAATGATATAATTATAATCATGTGAATGATATGGTATACTTGATGCGAGCTCACTCACATCTAGGTCTAAAAATCCATGGAGAAAAGACAAAGATAATGGGTACAAACCAGGCAAATAGTAATGTAAAGTAAACTACCCTTTTCCACGCCTTTAGGCGTATTGGGCTAGGCCTATATTTTATAGTCATGTAGTTTCTCTTAATGGTCTCTCCCTTAAAGATGTGGAGTCAACAGCAATACAGCTATTTGGGCAGTAATGTAGATAAAGATGGGAGAACTGATAGAGATATTAGAACAATACGAATACAAGAGGCAAGAGCAGCTTTCATACCATTTGGCAATTTGTGAAGGTAGAAAGAAATCAAAACTCAAACTAAATATTGTTTTCTAATGTCAAATCAGTGCTGTTGTATGGAGCAAATGAAACTAATGCTAAACTTAACATTATTTTCTTATGTCAAATCAGTGGAGCAAATTAAAACTAATGCTCAACTTAAAATTGTTAATTCTAATATCAAATTTAGGTATGAAGCAGAAACATGGATAACAACTAAAACAATTACAATAAACTACATTCACTAACTGGTGCCTGTGCAGAATAGAGGGGCTTGAATGGCATGACAGAGTCACTAAGGTTGAGCTTCAGGAGAGAAGTAAACAAGTTCCAGTCTACCAAGACATGAAGAAACGACGATGGTGTTAGATAGGTCTGATAGGACACACACTGAGAAAACCTGAGAACAATGTAAGTTGAATGACTTTGCATTGGAACCCGCAGGTACCAAGATATGAAGGCAGAACATGAACAAGGACAAGGGAGCTAGAGAGTAATGTTAAAAAGATGGGAAGGTTTACATGATTTCTTCTTCTTCTTGGCATTCACCAGCTGTAAACTCTGGTGGAAAGTTCTGTTTGTTCGTCCACTCGTGGACTGTAGTCCTGTTCCAGAAACTGAGTGTTGCGTGTGTATCCGTTTTACAAATCTGACTCATTTGTATGCAGACTGCTGGTTCCTTGCCTCTCAGGCAGATGCACTCTGACTTCAAAGGAAGCTCCCAATTAGTTTTAAGACATGTTTTGGTAGGCAGAGGGTCTATTCTTGTTTTTCCTATAAGAGGGCCCTGGAACCCATACGGGGAAGAGCTACATGTGATAATGAAGGACAGAACAAGATCGGCTCCAGCTGACGGGAGATGCTGTTGACGTCACCAAACCAGGCTAATGATACGCAAACGCAGTTTCTCAAACTTTTTTTGCAGGACAAAAATATTTTGTTGCAGCACACCTACCTTTAAAGTGGTTTGAATACTTAAGAAAAGAAGAAAAAGCAGTGCAAATTTAATGTTAAAAAGAGTTGGAAAAATTCTTGATTACTGCCGCGGCACTCCTGGCGTACGCTCACGGCACCCCTGGGTGCCATGGCACCCAGTTTAAGAATCACTGTGTTAACGTATCGTTAGCCCGGTCTGGTGACGTCAGCAGTATCCTCATCAATTGGAGCCAGTCTTGGACAGAACAACTTGGTATGAGTTGGTTGAGGGCTTATGCTTCACTGGGTGTTAGAAGGCAGAAGAAAAAAGTGTTAACAGGTCAACTTAGTGGTAAGTTTTGAAGAAGAACTAAAAAACAACTCCCAGTGGACCAAGAGGTGAAGAAAAGACACTGGTGTTGGATAGAAGTAGAACACATGCTAAGAAAACGTAAGAACATAACTAGAATATCTTAGCACTGGAACCCAGAGAAGCAGACCAAAAAACATGTGGAGAAAAAGAGCTGAAGAGTGAAGTTGAAAAGAGGGAGAGGACATAGGGGGAGCTACATACAACAAAGAACAAAACAACTTGGCGCGCGTTGGTTCAGGGCCTATGCTTCATTGCTCTGAAAGAAGGAAGGAGAAGCCGAATATATATCGAATATTGTACGAATTCAATAGTCGTACCCATGTCGGAAGCAACTTTTCGTTATTTGAAGCCCCACCCTGGCTTTTGACGGGGGCCCTGAATATAGCCAGGCCATGGCTAGCCTCTGAATAACGGTCCCAAATTATCGAAGACGAATATACACCCTAACAGACTATACCGCCACCGCAGAGAGTATCTCCCACGCCACGGAGTGGGGCTAAACTAGATGGCTGGGACTCACGAGCAAATAAAATTAGGAAAGCTGCAGGAGATGCGGTAGATGCTGCTCGTGAGTCCCAGCCATCTAGTCCTTAATTTACATGTGACTGAAGCCCTGTTAGGGTAAATTTTCGACCTCGATAATTTGGGACCGTTATTCGGAGGATAGCCCCGGGCCATTCATAAATATGGCCTAACCGCTGAAAGTAAGGGGTTTCTGGGACCTCTACCCTGGCGATCCACATATCATCGGCTTGGTAGTTTGTGTCCCCGGGTGTTTATCGCTTGTGTGATATCTTGGTGGGGTACAACAAGAGAAAGAGAGAGAGAGAGAGAGAGAGAGTGAGAGATCTGATTGTTGAGTGATGAGTGACCGTCCAATCAATCGCCGGTTTTTATTAATATTACACTGAGTCAAAGAACTTATTATTAATGTCCTAACTTTTTGGTAATAACGATACTGTCAATACGTGTAGTTAAAGTAGTTTCACTCTTAATTATATGATTCCAAAGCGATGATTTACCCGTTTTCTCCCCGAACGTATTTGCCTGCGACTTAATGCTATCAAGACCACCACTTGATTGTGTTGTTCCCAGCTGAAATCGCTTTCCAGAGCTTGAAGATTAAGAAAACAGTCAATGACTATTGCAACAATGACTATTGCGGTCAACAAACCACAACACAGGTCCCTCCTAGTGGTTTCTGCAACGGTTGCGTACCGATTTGCTTCCCAGCTGAAATCGCTTTCCAGAGCTTGAAGATTAAGAAAACAGTCAATGACTATTGCAACGGTTGCGTGCCGATTTGCTTTAAAAAAAATGCCGTTTATACAATGAAGGTTTGGCTGCATTGGGTCCCCAGAACTCTCTAAGTGGCAATTAAATTTGTTCTTCTGATTCAGCTCAGATTATAGCTTAACTATATCCGCGCAGCTACACACACTTTTAGCTGCATACATTTAGTGTTTAAAAAAAAAAAAAAACTGACTCCCAAGTATACTAATCACATATGTACCTTCATCAAATAGAAAAGCGTATTAAATAAACATATGCAACTTTTTCTCTGTGATTTATTGTTTGAATGATAAATAATTAAGGCCCATGCACAATTTCATGAAAATCTGACCATATTTAGATATGTTTAATCATCAGCAAAAACGAGCATAATTTAGATTTTTCAAGATTGTTCCCTCCCTTTAAATGCCAGAGAAAGACGAAGTAGTATTAGCAGTAATAATGGAAGTTTAAGCAACTATATCTTGATTGGAATTTGTAGTTAAAAAAAATTTTTTTTTTAAATATTAACTTTTTCTGCCCGAAACAACTCACCAATTATGCTCATCTTATGTCTACACGTATCAACGCAACACATTGTGTGTTGTTATTTATTTTGTGCTTGGTCTAAGTCATCATCATCATGTAGCAGGTCTTTTGCAGAACGTCGCTGTCATCACAGTCTGCCTGTAAGAAACTCGGTCTCTTGCCAGTTCTTCCGCCTCATGAACTTTCACACTCAAGGAGTCACTTATATCCTGTGCCCATCTTCGTGTCGGTCGGCCCCTGCCCCTCCTTCCTGGTACCATGTCTTCTGCTATAATTTTTTCCAATCTGTCGTGGCGCTTGATATGACCAAAATATTTCAGCTTTCGAGAAAGGATGCTGTTTATTAGCCAATCTTCCTTGATGTTCAGATCTTTTAAGATGTCAATATTTCTCATCTTCTTTGTACGCAAAAGAAATCTGGTCAAATATTATAAATGCGGCACAGTATATTTTGTATCTTCAAAAGTCAACCACTGCTGCCTTTTACACTGTGATTTTTGTGCCAGATTGGGTTTCTACTTTGAAATCACATGGGACTGAAAGAGTTAACACTCAATTACTATATGACAGTGTTTTTCAACCCGTTATCCCGGTTCTCTGGTAGACCACCAAAAAAGTCTTCTTAATCATGTAACGAGCTAGGGTAGGTGGTTTTACTTCTGGTCTCTAGGAGTAATACCCCAATGACTTCTAATAATAAAAACAATGAAATGTAACTGATGTTAATGAAACGTTCTGTCTATTAGAAACAATGCTCCTTGCACATACCTAAAATTGTCTAATCTCTGAGCAGCAGCAGATGTCGCATTAGGTGAAAACTGCGAGTTTGGAGATGGCATTTGACAAATAAACTGCTATCTACTCCTTTTTTTGGGGGAGGGGGGGGGGGAGGGAGGGGGGTCTGTGTTTAGTTAGCTGTCAGGTGTGCTGCGAAAGCATCTCCACTGGTTTGTTTGGCCTCGAGTGTAAACACGTTGGGAAGCACTGCTTTAGGCTATTTAATATCGACGTTGCCTAACTAGTTCGCTGTGTATCCTTTACAGGAGTTGTAGAACCAACACAACATTATTATTATAATTTATTGCCGACTGTGGTTTCATTCAGCAATCTTAGTCTTAGTAGTTTGCCATTGCTCATTGTATGATCGGCTCTCGATACCACTTTCAAAACCAAAGCAAGGCGTTGTGCTGCCAAATCGCCTGCAGCTGGAATTGAACCAATATTACATATATTATGTAATAATTGCTGCAGATTTTGTATACTCTTTACGAATATTTAAAATACATTTATTCTGTCCTCTCTTTTATTATTTTGGATCTAATAGTTGCTCTGTGTTGATAGACATAGCAGTTTAACAGAAGATAGCCAAAGTAAGGCGCGCTCCATGCAACAGAAGATAAACTAAGGCGCGCTCGATGTAACAGAAGATAGACAAACTAAAGCGCGCTCGATGTAACAGAAGATAGACAAACTAAGGCGCGCTCAATGTAACAGAAGATAGCCAAACTAAGGTGCACTCG